TTAGCTCAGTGGTCCCGGCACCTGCTTTGCAAGCAGAAGGACCTGAGTTCGATCCTTGGTACCAAAACAAAAAAATTTAAAGAAAAATACTTCACATATTTGGAAACCACTGTCCCAGTCCACCATCTTTATTTTTTAGAAGAGAAAATAGAAATACTTTGGCAACATTTCCAAAAACATAGTGAATTTAAGGTAGAGAAGACCCTTGGATCATGAAATTAGGGTAGAAAATATCTCTAGATCAAAGATCCTTCCAAAGACTCTCACACATTCGAGGTGAATTTAGGGGAAAGGGAGAGGATAGCACAACTTCACAAAGTTCTCTTCTTTTTCACTTTGAGTAGGGTTAGGCATGAAAGTGAAAGGATATGTAGCGGCGAGAGAAAAGGATTTTCATTCATGTCTTTTGTATAAAGCACTGAAAATAGTTTTTTAAAAAACCCTTTCTAAGCTGACAGGAGAATTAAACACTTCAAGATACAGTATAAAGGTTGACAGACTTGTACCTGGTACCCAAACATCCCCTAGAGACCCCAAAAAGGAAAGCAAAGTTCCAAGAACCTGGGTGCTCTGACAGCCCACGGGCGGGGCTCCCTTTGGTGAGCTCCGGCTGGGAGGGCCTCTCTAGCCTTCTGTGAGTCACACGTCACTGCTCTCACCAATTCCCACCAGGGCTTGCTACATCCCTGTTGAGCAGTTAGTCAGTTTCTGTTACCGAGACAATCAAAGGACAAGGCTAAGCCAGGGCCTGACTCACAGTGGGAGTCATCACAGGAGAAGCAGGAGTCGGGCCCGATCCAGCCGGATTCCTGGCCAGCCAGAGGGAACTCAGGGGAAGGCTTTGAAGCCACCCACTGGCAGCCTGCAGACTCCAGGAGGAAGCAGCCTCATCCTCTGTCTGCAGCACTGTCACCATGGACACGGTCACAAGTGCTTACCCTGCTGCGTCATGACCCTATCACAACAAGACCCAGACAAAGTGCATGTCAGCTGAGAGTTCCTATGAAAATGCCCTGTGTTTAGACAGCTCTGATTCATCCCTAGTAATCCGTGTGTCCTCAGAGGGAAAAGATGAGTATTCTTGGAACCTGAATCAGAAAAGAAGCTGCAGCAATACTGAATTACCACTGTGATCTTTCATTTATTCACTCAATCAGCCTGCAACTGCATCTCAAATCCTAACCATCAACCAGCAGGGATTCACTCCTCTAGTCAAAGAAAAATCCTCCTTGAATATCAATCAGCAAAAAGGGAAGGAACGCAGCAAGGGCAGAACTTGCAACGCAATACGCAACACATGTGAAAGAGTCACAGCCAGCAATTTACAACTGCCCACAAGGCTCCTGAGCACAAGACTGTCGGCTGACTGGCTTCGGTTTTCTTCGCTACCCACTTCATTCAGCCTGGCCAACAGCTACGTTTTCTATTAAGTGGTATCAAAGTGGCATGTTTTTCACACTGTTTCTATGAGCAGAACACATTCTTCACACACCTGCAACCTGCATTACACTTTTAGCAGCCTTTTCACTGGACTCTTCAGAATAGTTTGCGCTGTCGCCGTAGTACAGCGCTACATCTGACTAGTTGGTCCTTCCTAGCTACTATAAATAAAGACGGGTAGTAAATTATGGTCAGTTTATCTGTGAGAAGCAGTTTGCTAAAGGAAAAAAAGTACTCTGGTTTCTGCCAGAGTCATCTAAGGATTTTCCTATGGAAGCAGAACTGGTCTATCTACGTAGTCCATCTAAGACGTAAGTGGGTCAGTATTAGCATTAACTCCCAGCTTCTCCGGTCCGGCAGCTGTGTCTGTCCACGCGGCAGTGGGGACAGCAAGGGCCTTAAGCAGCCGCTCTTTCCACCACGGGGCCATGCACCCAGCCCAACCCAGTGACTCTGAAGCAGAACAGAGAGTTCTCTGGAATTCAAATGTCAAGACAGGGCCAGAGATTTAGTTCAGTGGCACAGCACCTGCCTCTCAAATGTCAAGATATGAAACTGTATTCGATCCCCAGCACCAAAAAAAAAAAAAAGATATGAAAGTGTAAAGCACAATTGACTCTGAAGGGCTGTTTCAGTTCCTCCTCAGTGTCTGAAGGACACACCTTAAAGGCAAGGTGATGGCAAGCTTTCTCTTGAGGTGAGAGGAACAATGATTCATAGATATTTTTGGTGAATACTCCCGGATTTCTCAGGATTTCTCACGTCAAAAGCCCTATGGCCTCATCTATTTTCCTGGAAAAATCTGAAAAAAATCAGAAGTTATCAGGAGGTTTAAGATAGTCTAGATTTTAAGAAAGAGGGTTGGGAGCAATTACTTAAAAACTATATAATATACTCAGCATTATTATTTCCAAGTTACCAGATTTGAGTTTTAGCAAGGAATTTTCAACTGACAGACCATTTAAGACGCCTCATCAAAAGTGCACTTCCTTACTGGCTCGAGTTCTGTGAGCTGCGGTGAACCCCAGTATCTGCTGTCAGAGGTGAAGAGGCGGAGAAGGGCAGACACTATCTATGGACGACCTCCACCAAGAGCCGCAGTGAAACTGCCAGACGCTCTGCTCCGCACGGAACTGCATCTGTCTACGTGACGGCTGCCCTCAGCACCACCCCTGGGGCTCCACTGCGCTCCTGGGCTTTCTCTTCATCTGCCAGATAACTAGATCACGAGGAGGGAAAAACCCTGCTCAACTAATACGACCACCTAAAGCTACTAGTTTATAATACCCTAGAGCAAAAAGCAAGCTGAAGTCTCCCTCAGTGAGGGCCACATGACCTGGGCAAACATAATTCATGAGCACTTTGGAGCCCCATCGCCATGGTGCAAGCTCCTGTCAATAATTCACCTCCACCTCGATGCTGGCCCATGTCCTAAAAAATTCTGGAAACCAAGCACAATACTGCAAATTTTTTTGAAATGTTCGTTCAAGATTACAGAGAGAAGACAAAGTGGATGAGGTCCATGAAGGCAACTGAGCACAGACAAATTCCAAATGCATGTCAGTCAGGAATAGTGTGCATGCCCACCATCTCAGCATTCTTGGGAGGCTGAGGCAGGAAGACTTCAAGTTGAAGCCCACATTGGGCAACTTAGTGATTTAGCGAGATCTTGTCTCAAAATAAGTCTTAAAAGGACTGGGGATGTAGATCAGTGAGTAATCCCTGATACAAACGAACAAACAAAAACACAAAAAACCTTTTTGTGCAAATTCTTAAAAAGAGGGAAGTAAATTTAAAGGCAATTTCATACTCATAAAGAAATGGGGTGGGCTGGGGATTTAGCTCAGTGGTTTTGCCACCTGCTGCGCAAGCGCAAGGTCCCGAGTTCAATCCCTAGTACCAAAAAAAAAAAAAGAAAAGGGATAATGGATATAAAAATGTTCTGTTAAAAGTAATGCTTCAAGAAAAATGATTAAAATCCTATCAAAAGAGTAGCAGGCTCACTGAAAGGAAGAAGTACCACTTCATACTAAAAATTTTAGAATTTTTTTTAAAAAATTGGTGTGTCCCTGCATAATATTTTATGTGGATACTCACCCTGAACAACTATTCAGGAATCTGAAATTCTACAGAATACCCAAAAAAAGGAATACAAATGTCCTAACACTGTACTACATTTAGAATCTCTGAGGAAGAAGTAATTTTTACAATAACCCCGCCTGTTATGTAGCTTCAGAGCTGAGAATGAGAATCAGACCCTCCCAGGCTGGCTGCAGGGCTCCCAGCAGCAGCACTGGGGACCAGAATTAAGGTCTAGACAAACTGCAAGTCACTCTGCTACTCTCTCCTGAACTCAGCTGCCTTTTTTGATAAGAAACAGATAAAAACAGACATCATAAAAGTCAATTCTTATATGAACACTCAAACGCATTTTCTAATGTATCACATCATCCATTCCCTCTTCCTCTACAAACATCTCCTCACCGAGTGGACAGCATGTGACCCAACGTGCAAAGCAACTTCCCTCTTCTCCCTAATGCTCCAACCTACACCGAGCTCTTGTTCACCACTTTATTAAATTTCTACCAGAACAAAGAGTTTTACATGACAGACACTATTTTTTAACCAAACCAATACACATACTGATGGGGTAAACAGTTTACGAGACATGTTAACTTTGACAAAACTTCTGTAAGAAAAAGAAATTTTAATACGGCCAGGGATGTAGCTCAGTGGCACCGGGGCGTGCCTTGCAAGCGCAAGGTCCTGAGTTTGATCCCTAGTACCAAAAAAGAAAAAAAGAAAAAAAATTGAAGTGAATTTAGAAACTTTTTCACTAATCTTGAAAATCAGACCTTAACCTTTGGCTCTCCTGTCTACTGACATAAGATTCTGGGATGAAATCTAATTCTCAACGAATTTTTCCTTTTTTTCTTTTTGATAGCCAATAAGGTTCTTCACAAATAATGTTTCGATTACGTTGTACTACTAATGACATTAAGGAATTTATCCACAGTGGATGAAATAACCCATAAGAATGCCACAAGTATAATGCTACTGTTTCCAGAGGTGCTCCACTAAGTTATCACTTGTTCCCACCATCCTTCTCAAGAAAGGGATTTTCCAGAGCAGGATCAGGCTCTCCCTGAGCACCCGCCTCCACCCACCACCAGCCTGCAGAGGGAGCACCCCGGCTGGCGCCTGAATTCTGACTACCTGGGAACGTGCTTGGGGACTGCAATGTCTTTCCTGATAAATGCAAACAGTACTGTTCAAGCTTCACCAAAGGACAGGGTGTAACCACTTCTCAAAAGCTGATTCTAGCAGAGGTAATGAAAGCAGCAAATAAGGAGAAGAATCACCAAGATCACTAGCAAATGCCCAGGTCTACACCCTTCCTGTGAAGAAAAGCGCTCGTCTACACACACCCACCAGTGAACCTTCTCCTACTTTGAGACATTCTTGAAAATCAACCTCCCGATCAACACAATTCCATCTCCTTAGTACCAATAAATTAAAACATTTTTCTGAGACTTTAAAATAGAACTAAAATTTCAAACCTGTTGTCCAGTTCCGTGTGATCAGTGCCTCTGCCAACCCAGGCACGTTTCTGAATCTTTGTGCATAAAAACGTCTTGTAAATCCTGCCCGCAGCAGAGCCAGCATCACTCACACATCTGGGCGAATCTGGCCAGGCCCCTGGCTGGTTTGTGGTTTTCGCTGAGCCGCCACACATGTCCCAAGCATTTAAAGTTCTTCCGGTTTACCCTAACCATCAACTTGGACTGGACACAAATCTTGAAGGAATATTATTTGAGGGATATTCTGCAGTGAGCAGCGATCATCTCACTTCCTGTACAGCATATGAAACAAGCTACTTGCAGCAGCCCACTAATTTCCTCTTTTAGAAGCTTAAAAAAAAAAGAACATTCATTTGTTACGTAAATTAAGCCCACGGATGAGTTAGGAAGTCAGATGCACCCATCACCTTATAAAACATGCTCTCAGCAAACCCATTATAAACATAGACAAGCACAAATCCTACTTCCTACTTCTGTTCCTTGTACTCCAGTTAGCAAAGACAAAACACTCAACAGGTTGAGCAGCTTGGGCTGACTCACTCCATCTGGCTCCCTAGCAGGAGAGTATGGAGATGTCCATTAATTGGTCACAAGACCTATTCCCAGGGCTCCGGGCAGACGCAGTGGCTTGCCTTCTGCTCCAAGGTTGCTCTGACATTGGCCACGCCACCCTCCTAATGGCCCTCATGTGAGCAAGTGTCAGCTGACAGGTCCTACTCTGCAACCTTGCAAAAGCTTACCCAGGCAAGTGAGATGCCTGTCCACACTAGCCAAAACGCAGGCCTCCGTGTACAGATGGCAGTGAGGGCGGGGAGCAGAGGAGGTGCACACTTGCTTTAATGGGAAACAGTCGGAGGAAATACTGCTGATGATAAGAAGCATAAACCCCCAAAACTCTTTCGCTGAACTCCTGGGCATTTTCAAGCTAAGAAAGCCCTGAAGTAGCAGAGCCCCGGGACAAAAGCAGTTCAATTTCAACTTCTGACAATAACATACTTCATCAGAAAAATAAGAATAATACTATAGAATCAAAGATTCTACAGATTCACAAAGAAAACATTTTTCTTTCAATTCCCTGGAATTCAGGTTAAATTTAGATACAAAAAAAAAAAAAAAAAAAGGAATCACCCCAATTTCTTTTTCCGGTCCTGGAATTTGCCCGCAGAAAGTATTAATGGACCCCTAAAGTCTGGTGCACTTGTCTAGCTCCTTGGTTTCCGGGAGTTTCCAGGGCATCTTCATCTGCAGAAGCCAAATATTCTACTCAACAGTGTGAGAAAAGCCAGCGATGCGGCCACGCGGGGCCCCAGCCTCTCCCAAGTACACTGGACTCAGAAAGAACTTCAGCCGCTCTCTCCTGGGACGCAGGTGGCCACCCGTGCAGGACACCAGCTCAGCTTCTCAGGCCAAAGGCCATACTGAGAATCCCGAGATAAGGCCAGGTCAGGAGAAGGGGGACCCGTTTCCAGGGAAGGTACACATTCTGAGATTACGCCTAACCACAGGCCCACGTCTGCCCATGGGTTCTTCTCTCCCTTGGGCGCCTTTAAAATAACCCTCTTTCTTACAGAGTCAGGTCACCTGTGCCGGCACTAGGAAAACATGTCCAGGGTACGGCGGGCAGCACGCGAGCAAGGACTGGGCTGAGCCTCCCGTCAGCACCGCAGGCTACCTGCCAAGCCCCTGTGAGCCCCAGACCGGCGTCTCCACCTCAGGCCGGCCTAAAGGCACGGGGAAATGAGGGGCAGGAACCAGGACAGGAGTTAGCCCCGAAGCTGATTGATGTATGCTTTTCACATTTTCCAGAGGGTTCAAATAATGTCATAAATGTGCCAGGTGGGAATAATAAGAGAGAAAAATGGCCGCATGCTTGCAAAGGACGCCAGGAAGAACACCGCTTCGCTGCACGCCGGACTTCTGCGTGGGGACTGACCCCGCCGGCATGGGAGCCCTCGGCCCCGAGGGGCGCTCACCTCTCAGCGCTTCCCCAGCACGGTCCGTCGGTCGGTCCGTCGGTCGGGACACTCTCGGCCGGCCAGTTCCTCAGTGAAGCAGCGTTCAGACCTCAGCGTCTGAACACAGAGCGCTGGGTCTGGCCCTGGGGTTTCTGGGTCCAGTTCAGGCGGGGCTGAAGAACTCACCTTCCCACAAGTTCCGGGATGTGAGCCAGGGCAAGAATCATCTGCTTTACCGAAACTCCCAACTTCCCAAGACCCCCTCATCTCTTAGTCCCATCATTTTCACAAACAGCACATCATTATTTTACGACGTGTGCGCATCTTATCACCCTAGATCATAAATTCTTGGAGTACAAAAACTGGGTTGGTGGCATTCGTATTTCTACATGATACAGGCTTTACACGTGGTGGCTGCCCAACACATGCTTTCTGACTGGTTCAATAACGCTGCACATTTGCATTAAAATCTGGATAGGGATCTCTGCAACAAGCAGTGTTGCACTGACAGTTTGGTGCACACTGAACAGGAGGGCCCTTGCACACTCACAACCCCTCCCCGCACTACAGCAACAGTTCCCATAGAGGCTTCAACACCCTCTAGGCACTCCAATCAATGTGACTCAGAGTATCTTAACATAAAGGACATTTAAAAAGTCAAAATGCCATTTCCCGGGGAAGAAAATGTTCAAATGGGAAGAACTCAGGAGGAGGGAGGGAGGGAGGAAGGGACAAGAACAAGACGTGAAAATAGGAAGAAAACATGGAAACAGATTTTGTACCCCTGTGTTAGGGGAGGGGAAGGACAGGATAAAATAAAATCTGTTAATTAAAAAAGCCACTTCCTGTTATCCTGCTCGGTAACCCTTAATCCTACAGCTCAAACTCTGTAAAATATGATGAAGTAGAGGTACGTATCAAAACCACAACTATTACACTTAGCATGCATGTCTCTATGACCCCAAATCTCATTATGGAAAATAATCCATGTCATCCAAAGTTCATGCCCAGCGTTGACCGGCACCTCTGCTGTCACCACTGAGACTTCTGCAATACAGGGGGGCCGGGTATTTAGCTCAGTGGTTCCAGCGCCTCCTGCGCAAGCACAAGGTCCCGAGTTCAATCCCCGGTACCAAAAAAAAAAAAAAAAAATACAGGTAAACTTCAGGAGATGCTGGAAAGGACAGCAGAGAAGTGGGGAAGTGTGGGAAGCCAGGAAGGGAGAAAGGGAGACCATGGGCTCAATGTTTGTGTGTTCGGTGCTGAGGACTGACCCCAGAGCCTTGTGCATACTGAGCGAGTACTCTACCACTGAGCTATACTGCCCCTGCTCAAGTTTTTAAGCAGCCATTTATACTGGTTCTGTTCTCATATCCTACGTACTGTGAGAGCCTACAAAAAAGTGCAAAATTTGTAAGTCAACAAATGGCATAAGTATCATTCAGATCATAGACACCAAATATGTGGTACTCAAGATGTCAACCAAGCTAGTGTGGTGGTACCCATCTATAGCACCAGCACTCTGGGAGGCTGAGGCAGGAGGGCTGCAATTTCCAGCCCAGCCTGGGAAACTCAGTGGCTCGGCGAGACCTCGTTCCAAAATAAAAACTAGACTGAGGCTGTAGCTTGGTGCAAAGGCCTTGAGTTCAATCCCTAAAACTGAAGAAGAAAAAAAAAGGATGCCAGTCCAACCTTCTACCTGTGGTCAGGATGTGATCAACAAGAACCCTGCCTCCAGCTCCGCTCAGACCTTCTCCACACCCACCCAATGCAGGGTCCCCAGGACCCTCCTCCAGTCTAATACCCAAGATGGACATCTGAAAACAGGCCCATTACCATGCCTGATTCAGAGTTGGGAGAATTAAAGTCCGGGAAGTTCCAAGACTTTACATTCCCTTGACCCAATCCTCTTCAGGTGAGAAGATAAGCAGCAATCCTAACACTGTACGGAGGGCCGGGGATTTGGCTCAGTGATGCCGCCGCCTGCCTCACAAGCGGAAAGTCCCGAGTTGGATCTCCGGTACCAAAAAAAAAAAGAAAAACCTGTGTGGAATGAAAATGTAACTCAAAAACCACAATTGAGAGAAGGGTTTGGAGAGCCAAAAGAATTAATGTCTAATGCAGCCCCTCAAAGTCTAGCCTAATTATTCTCATCCGAAGAGTCTTGCTACGAAGTATCCTCTGGCAATTCATATACGGAAACAAGAAGGAGGCCAGGAGTGGAGGAGTCTGGGCCCACGAGCACCCCGCCAGCCCTGCTCCTTGCTGGGTAATCCCTTCCCTTCCACACGTCTTCTCCACACGCATGAACAGCCAGTCACCAGCCTTTCAAAACGCGGTCCCCGCGAGGAGACACAAAACAAGTTCTAAAACGTGTTTTTGTCTCAGCATGGATGCTGTGAACACTAATGCGAGAATATACGGCTTTTCTGGGCATTACAGTTCAGCGGGAAACTTTTCTTCGAAAATGGTGTGTTTTTCTTGCTGTCTGCAGGGGCCCAGCCCGGCCCCGCCGCTCAGCTCGGGGCTGAGGTCTGGGATAGCGGAGCCTGGGCCCGGCCTCTCGGCGTCGTGACACACACCCACTGTGTTAAAGCTGCTGCACGGAGGATTTGAGATGCGGAAAGGACCGGCCTGAGGCCCGGGCAGGGTGAGGGCCAGCCTGAGCGCCAGGTGCGCGGCCAGGGCACCCTCCGCCCCGCGCCTGCCCACCCCAGGGCCAGGTTCGGCAGTGGAGCGCCCGCCCGCACACACAGCAGCACGCACCCCACCCCACCCCCAAATCTCGCCTTTCTTCTATTTCAACTCATTTGACCAGCTCAGCACTCGGAAATTTGACAATATGCTCAAACTTATATAAGACAGATAATAGCTTTATTCATTGAGTGCTCATTCGATGTGCCAGGTATTGTTCTGGGTGTTTCGCTTAATCACAGGAAGTAGGTGGTTCGGATATTTTCTTTCAACAGAGGAGAACAACGCGCAGAAAGCTAGGGAAGCAGACCCAAATCAAGGCACTCTTGCTCATGAGTAGGGAGGGCACACTTGCACCTGAGCCCATGCGGGCAGACATGGAGCGGCCCAAGGAGGAGGCCGCTGGGTGTCACTGACCTGGAAACTCATCACATTCTTTCTCCACCATCTTGGAGCTTACTTAGGATGTGTGATGCTCTCTGCTTTAGTCCCCCGAGGACAAGGTGTGCTCTGTGGGTGACAGTCTCTTCAGACACTGTGCCATGAACCCTGCCCTGCTGTCCCGTAACAACCCCCGTGCAGGAGTCACACTTGCCGGCCGACAGGATGCCTGCCCTGCCCGGTCCTGCACTGCAGCTACAGCACAGGGTCCTAAGCAGAGTGATTTTTTTTGATCCATATAGAGTTAGCGTAAATGTGTATACCAAACTCCAGTATCAAGGCTATAACTTAAAGTAGGGAAGGAATTTCTTGGGGATAAATTAGCTTTTAGGTTTAGACAAAAGTGACATGAGGTCTGGGAACATAGGTCAGTGGTTAGAGTGCATGCCTGGCATTCTCAAGGCCCTGGCTTCAGTTCCTGGTACACACACA